CGTGCTCTTCAATATAATGTAGGGACATAAAGGCCTAATTTAGGTCTGCCATATAGGTCTAATTCAGGTCAATATTGGAGCTTAGATAGAAATATTTTCAGTTCAATGTTTATTTTTCTGTTTTATTTACATTGTAAGTTGAAAGCAGAATTGTACCCAAAATATGTAAGATGCATATAAAGATTTTATTTAACTAATACACAAACTTACACATAATCTAGGCCCACTCTTCCCGGGTCTAGTGATAATCTAGGCCCACTCTTCTCGGGTCTATTGATAATCTAGGCCAACTCTTCCCGGGTCTATTGATAATCTAGGCCCACTCTTCTCGGGTCTAGTGATAATCTAGGCCCACTCTTCTCGGGTCTAGTGATAATCTAGGCCCACTCTTCCCGGGTCTAGTGATAAGCTAGGCCAACTCTTCTCGGGTCTAGTGATAATCTAGGCCCACTCTTCTCGGGTCTAGTGATAATCTAGGCCCACTCTTCTCGGGTCTAGTGATAATCTAGGCCCACTCTTCCCGGGTCTAGTGATAATCTAGGCCAACTCTTCCCGGGTCTAGTGATAAACTAGGCCCACTCTTCTCGGGTCTATTGATAATCTAGGCCCACTCTTCTCGGGTCTAGTGATAATCTAGGCCAACTCTTCTTGGGTCTAGTGATAATCTAGGCCCACTCTTCTCGGGTCTAGTGATAATCTAGGCCCACTCTTCTCGGGTCTAGTGATAGACTTCCGAGTCATCTCTGTTTATACACACTACTTAATGACTCCTGTTTACACCAGCGTTCCACAGTTGTTTTCTGACATGTGGATATGCATAACTGTATGCATGAACTGTTTTGTTGCAATACTATTCAATGTATCTGACACAAATCACAGGTATCATTGTAAGACAGCAAACTTGTATCAAGCTGCAAGCCGTGTACTTGTGATACATATGTACTTTAACATACATATTTTAGTGTACTTAAATTTTAGTGTATTATCAAAAGTTAACAGATATAATCCCATTGATGAATCGATAGATTCACAAATCTGATAGAGAACAATACACAGAAACTCAAGTGCGTGCCATTATAATGACTGCATTTTTAGCTAAAGAGTGAAAAGTGCTGAAAGCGGTAACCACTAGAATATGAGTATTTACAGTATTCTATCCCAATATTCCTTGCATAGACAATATATACTGTGGATATCAGAGGTAGATCACTATTTTAGAATATATTTACACTGTGATGTGTCCGCTAAGGAACTTTCATTGTGACAGTAGTGTTACTCCCCCTCCCTCGTCCTGTCCCTCAAATTGATGCCAGTTCGGCTATTTTATGGGAACATAAAGACCATTCTTTCAAAAGGATAGCACATTTCATCTGCAGCTATCTCATAAATAATCACAATTTGTAAATTAATGTTTTGCTTGAGTAGTTGACATCACTGCCACTGACATTTTCCATTGCCTGATTAACTCGTTAGTGAGTGAAATATATGCAGGCAAAGATAGTTTTATTGTGTCTAATTACATTAATTTACATGCCACTTCAATTAGTGGCTTTAATCACCTGTTGGGTCACACAGGTAACCACCAGTAATGTATTGGATCATCTCACACTTATTTGTTAACAGAAGTTAGCAGGAAGAATTTTTTAACACATAATTAAATTGCATGCAGTCAGGAAATTTAGTTGACAGTGAGAGTCATGATATCCATGTATTTGGGATTTCCCCAGAGTGTAGCAAAGGTGTATGTCGTGATTGAAACTTTGCTGGAAGTTGAAAATGCTTTAGTGTCGATCATTCCAAGAAGTTTTTATTGAAAAAGAAATTCTGCCATTCTTTTTCAATCGCCTTTAATGTTTTATTTAATGCCAGAATAACTCTGTAACTGACATGTGTTGGTATACGCTAGGTTCTGGTGAAAACAAGCTTCTCACTGACATTGATGGTATACAGTGAGGTTCAGGTGAAAACAAACCTTTCAATGATATTGATGGTATACAGTGAGGTTCTGGTGAAAATAAACCTTTCACTGATATTGATGGTATACAGTGAGGTTTTTGTGAAAACAAACCTTTCACTGACATTGATGGTATACAGTGAGGTTCAGGTGAAAACAAACCTCTAACTGATATTGATGGTAAACAGTGATCGAGGTTCAGGTGAAAACAAACCTTTCACTGATATTAATGGTATACCATGAGGTTCTGGTGAAAATAAACCTTTCACTGACATTGATGGTATACAGTGAGGTTCAGGTGAAAACAAACCTCTAACTGATATTGATGGTATACAGTGAGTTTCAGGTGAAAATAAACCTTTCACTGATATTGATGCATGGTATACAGTGAGGTTCAGGTGAAAATAAACCTTTCACTGACATTGATGGTATACAGTGAGGTTCTGGTGAAAACAAACCTCTAACTGATATTGATGGTATACAGTGAGGTTCAGGTGAAAATAAACCTTTCACTGATATTGATGGTATACAGTGAGGTTCAGGTGAAAACAAACCTTCCGTTGACATTGGTGGTATACAGTGAGGTTCGGGTGAAAACAAACCTTAAACTGACATTGATGGTATACTGAGTGAGGTTCAGGTAAAAACAAACCTTCCGTTGACATTGGTGGTATACAGTGAGGTTCAGGTAAAAACAAACCTCTAACTGACATTGATGGTATACAGTGAGGTTCAGGTGAAAACAAACCTAACTGATATTGATGGTATACAGGGAGTTTCAGGTGAAAATAAACCTTTCACTGGTATTGATGGTATACAGTGAGGTCCAGGTGAAAACAAACCTTAAACTGACATTGATGGTATACGGTGAGGTTCTGGTGAAAACAAACCTTTCACTGACATTGATGGTATACAATGAGGTTCAGGTGAAAACAAAACTCTAACTGATATTGATGGTATACAGGGAGTTTCAGGTGAAAATAAACCTTTCACTGATATTGATGGTATACAGTGAGGTTCAGGGGAAAACAAACCTTCCGTTGACATTGGTGGTATACAGTGAGGTTCAGGTGAAAACAAACCTTAAACTGACATTGATGGTATACTGAGTGAGGTTCAGGTAAAAACAAACCTCTAACTGACATTGATGGTATACAGTGAGGTTCAGGTGAAAATATACCTTTCACTGATATGGATGGTATACAGTGAGGTTCTGGTGAAAATAAACCTTTTACTGATATTGATGGTATACAGTGAGGTTCAGGTGAAAACAAACCTTTAATTGACATATATGGTATACAGTGAGGTTCAGGTGAAACCAAACCTTTCTCTGACATTGATGGTATACAGTGAGGTTCAGGTGAAAACAATCCTTTCATTGACATATATGGTATACAGTGAGGTTCAGGTGAAACCAAAACTTTCACTGACATTGATGGTATACAGTGAGGTTCAGGTGAAAACAATCCTTTCATTGACATATATGGTATACAGTGAGGTTCAGGTGAAACCAAAACTTTCACTGACATATATGGTATACAAAAGATCTTTTAGTACAAGCCTCTCACTGACATTGATGATATACAATTAGTTCTGGTGATGGCAAGCCTTTCACTAACATTGATGATATACAATTATTTCTGTTGATGACAAACCTATCACTAACATTGATGGTATACGGTAAGTTTTGGTAAGGACAACCTCTCACTAACATTGATGGTATATTATAAGTCCTGCTGACAAGAATGTCATATAGTGTTTTCTGGGTAACATTCAAATCTGCCCCCTTACATGCCCACTTTTCATATCCCCTCAGTACAGTCACCCTCAACACTCACCTCAACTCCTTACTAGTCCAATGTTATACTATAAAATCAATATTACAATTCATTTGCATAAAGATGGGTTTGTCGTCAAGTTGTTTGTAGTTCAAGTTAAAAAGATTTCATCTTGTTTCATGTTGTGCGAAGTTAGTGAGGAATACACGAATGGTGTGTAGTGATTAGCAACATCAATTTACATAAAGCTCGTTCATGTATGCAAATTAGTTTCAGTATATGTAAATTAGGTAGTAATGCACAATAATTTCAGTGTAGATTGACATGCATTTACAACAAAAAACTCAGTAATGTAGGGAAAAAAAGAAAAAGAACACAAATTCGAAAGTTCAAAGGACTTTATCACATATAAATACAATTTTACAACACCGTCAAGTGACATCAAATTGTCTTCAAAATTTTAGATATAGAAATTTAGTGGTTCATTTCACGTCCGGCATTCCCGAAGCTAAGCTGTTGACTTTTATTTTACTGAGGAATGTGGGTCCTAAAGCTTCACTTATTGATCAGACATATTACCCCTTAGACCAATGGCATGCATTGAGTTGAGTGTCTGCTCAGGTGATGTCTGAGAAAACACGGTGTTATGAGATTTGATGAGCAGAAAGGTTCTATTAAGGAGTATATCAAATGGATTGTAGTTGTATTTGAATTTCTCTAATACTTAATTGCTACATTGAATACTGTTGCTGTTTATTATTTTTGATCAGAAATACTCTTTGTCTATAATGTTTGCTAGCTACATAGCATAGTATATACCATTATTACCTGCTAACAGGAATATTATTATTTTCCTATATATTATTTGCTAGTTTGAATGCTATATTCCTGTAAAATTTCATATCTGGAATAATGTTAAAATATTTGGTATGAAACACTATTTCCCTTTTCTTATCCGAAATGCTTAATTCCTTTTGTATTATATATAATTTGCCAAATGGAATTCTATATTCTTTTCATATTTGCTGTAGGGAATACTAAATTCCTTCAATATTTCATTATGTTCCATGTGAATATTACATCTGTTTTGTTGCAGAAATAGCTCTATCGAGCTAATGTTTGTATGTTTATGTTATGCAATGCTAAATAAATATTCTTGTATCTTGTATTAATGACTAATGATGTTTGTCTTTTTCAGCAGTCACTTTGGGCCTAGACTTGCCTTCCTTTGCCAGTTCTAACGTTTCTCATTTTTGTTTTACTTGCAGATCTGATGTATAAATAGACAGAAGTCCAGCGCGCCAATGAGATGCTACGCGTGTCAGTGACATCTTACACGATGCTGTGACATAGTACACACTATTGTGTTGTTTAAGTGCCTTTGTTGTCAATTCTGCGAACAAAATTGCGGGTGTTATGAAACTTTTTCCATTATCTACTGAGGAACCTGACCATTTTGATGAAAAATTATTGCGAAAGTCTTAAAATTCGTTATCGCTTGTGCTTCTAAATGCGACTACATGCGTAGATCCCTGGGAACTCAGTAAGGAGTAGCGAGCTTGATTTGTGTTAAATTTTCATCCGTTTGGATATTTTCCCTTTTCTACCTTGTGTTTTATAATTCAGTAGGAAAATTTAGATCAAATTAAGATTGTTTGAATGCATAATCTGGATTGCAAGATGTCTGATAATAGTGAAAGTGGAAGTGAGTCCAGTGTGAAATTTTGCAAACAGAATGGCAACGACGATGATATATGTCGCGATTACTTACGTAACGTGTGTAAACGTGGAAAGCGTTGCAAGTATCGCCATCCACACTCTGAGGAATCGTCACGTGAAAGGAAGTATGACTACACATTTTGCCATGATTTCCAAAATACTGGCTGCCACCGCCCAAACTGTAAGTTCCTACACTGCTCCCGCGAAGAGGAGGAGCACTACAAACAGACTGGACAACTTCCTGTTCGGCTACAACAGGCTGCCGCCCTTGGTGTCGGGGTTACCCCTACCAATGACATGCCCCTCCTGAAGGGCGAGATCCCCATCTGTAAAGACTACCTTAAAATGAACTGTAAGCGTGGCATTAAGTGTAAATTCAGGCATCTCACAGCCACTGAATATGAGTTTGAATTACGTAAGTCGGACCAGAGGAATAATAATAATTCCCAAAACTATGATCCTTACGAGGAGGACTTTGATCGATTTGAGAGTTTTGAGTACTGTCATAGCAGTAGTGGTGTTAAGAGGCGAAGGACAGACAGGGACTTGGATGGATTCAACAGTAACTATGTGGAGAATCGATATTCCCCTACCCGTCCTCTCAGTTACCAGCTCATAGAAGACGAGAATTCAGTATTGCGTAGAAAAGTGGATGAACTTAAAAAACAGGTAGCAGATTTAACAGCTACAAATGAAGTGCTTCTTGAGCAGAATGCTCGCTATCGTGTTAGTCGGACATCTCTAGGGACAAGCCACGTGGCTGCCCCACAATCTCTGAACCATCTAGCAAACAGTCTTGCACAACAGATCGCTCTCAACTCCGAACTGGCTTCCCAGCATGCATTGCAGCAGCGCCTGGCGCGGGAGCTAGCGCCGGTGTCGGCAGCAGCTCAGGGGAGTTTAAACCAGCCAACGGTAACAATGAACCCTGGGTCTATACCAGTATCTCTTCCGCAGAACAATCTGACGGGCGTTACCCTGGCCCCTGTGTCCATCCAGCAGCCGTTGCCCCCACCCGTCAGTATGACTCAGGCCCTGCCCCCACCAGTCAGCTTAACCCAGAGTCTCCCACAAAACATGCAGGCCAACTCTACCACCCTCGTGTCCTACCCCATCGTCTCACAGAATCTCCGCACCGTCAGTAGTCTGGCTCACTGACACCACAGCGCCACCTAGCTAAGGTAGGTAACTCTACTTTTTCACTTCTGCTCTGGTTCAAATATGCCTGGCTGATCATTCTTGTCAAAGGACCACCCAAATGTCACATATTTACAACATTCAGTAGCACTTTTCATGCTTTTTTAGGAAAAATGGAATTGTTAAGACATTCACCCCTGAAGACACATTCAAACCTTCACCAAATCAAAGATTGGACAAGTCCAATTTAAATGTGCAGGGGTGAATTAGTTCATATATTACTGTACTGTAAAATGAACATTTTCTGCCCCTTGTTTATTTATTTATTTCCTTGTAAGATTCAAATTTTGATAATTTGTAAGTTTTGTTTTGTTCTGATTTAATATTCTCACAACAGCTATAGCCTTATGAAAATTGGTGATATTTCAGTTTATAAAGATTTCAAATGAGAAGAGTTTAATTGTTTAAGTCATCAAACCACAGCATACATAAGGTAGAAAAATAAAGTCTACATTTCTCTAAAGGAATAGACTAGAGACTTTTAAGGAACTCTGAAAGTGTTTAAAACTTGCAAACATGATTCATATTATTAACTCATTCACCCCTGAAGACACACTTGAACTGTTCCAATTCAAAGGTTGGAATAGTTCATTATGATATTTCAGGGGTGAATGAGTTAACATGAGGAAAGTTGGAGAAAGAAATGTTATCTATTTTTTCTCTGAAATATAGTTAGATGGTCTGTAGATCTGGCTGGAAGAACTGTTCAGCAGTGAAGTTGGTCGTGATGGATTACACAGCTAATGATCAACACAGGGAGTTAGTGAGTCAGTAAAACAACTTTAACATACGTTTTACCAGAGGTCAATTAAGGTCACTTACTCTGACTACTGGGGGCACTCTCTAATGGTGGAGAACAGTTTTGGTGGAGATATGTGGGGAATGCGTTAATGGTTTAGAAAGATGTCTTTGGAAGGGTGTACACCAGATTAATGGTAGAAGTTGGAATTTACTACATTAACCATCCTAATCGGTAATCACTTGAAGTCCTGATGGTCAAAGAGGACAAGAGTTAATGCCAAATATGTTCAGTGTATTTGTTCTAACCGGGTAGTGTGCTATCACTGTCTGGTGAAGCAGGAGCTCTTATAATCTATTGGTTCTAACCGGATAGTGTGCTATCACTGTCTGGTGAAGCAGGTCCTCTTATAATCTATTTGTTCTAACCGGGTAGAGTGCTATAACAGTCTGGTGAAGCAGGTGCTCTTATCATCTATCTGTTCTAACCGGGTAGTGTGCTATCACTGTCTGGTGAAGCAGGTGCTCTTATAATCCATTTGTTCTAACCGGGTAGTGTGCTATCACTCTCTGGTGAAGCAGGTGCTCTTATAATCTATTCGTTCTAACCGGGTAGAGTGCTATAACAGTCTGGTGAAGCAGGTGCTCTTATCATCTATTTGTTCTAACCGGGTAGAGTGCTATAACAGTCTGGTGAAGCAGGTGCTCTTATAATCTATCTGTTCTAACCGGGTAGTGTGCTATCACTGTCTGGTGAAGCAGGTGCTCTTACAATCTATTTGTTCTAACCGGGTAGTGTGCTATCACTCTCTGGTGAAGCAGGTGCTCTTATAATCTATTCGTTCTAACCGGGTAGAGTGCTATAACAGTCTGGTGAAGCAGGTGCTCTTATCATCTATCTGTTCTAACCGGGTAGTGTGCTATCACTGTCTGGTGAAGCAGGTGCTCTTATAATTTATTTGTTCTAACCCGGTAGTGTGCTATCACTGTCTGGTGAAGCAGGTCCTCTTATAATCTATTTGTTCTAACCGGGTAGGGTGCTATAACTGTCTGGTGAAGCAGGTGCTCTTATAACCTATTTGTTCTAACCGTGTCCGTAGTGTGCTATAACTGTCTGGTGAAGCATGTGCTCTTATAATCTATCTGTTCTAACCGGGTAGTGTGCTATCACTGTCGGGTGAAGCAGGTGCTCTTATAATCCATCTGTTCTAACCGGGTAGTGTGCTATAACTGTCTGGGGAAGCAGGTGCTCTTATAATCTATTTGTTCTATCCGGGTCCGTAGTGTGCTATAACTGTCTGGGGAAGCAGGTGCTCTTATAATCTATTTGTTCTATCCGGGTCCGTAGTGTGCTATAACTGTCTGGGGAAGCAGGTGCTCTTATAATCTATTTGTTCTAGCCGGGTAGTGTGCTATAACAGTCTGGTGAAGCAGGAGCTCTTATAATCTATTGGTTCTAACCGGATAGTGTGCTATCACTGTCTGGTGAAGCAGGTGCTCTTACAATCTATTTGTTCTAACCGGGTAGTGTGCTATAGCTGTCTGGTGAAGCAGGTGCTCTTATAATCTATCTGTTCTAACCGGATAGTGTGCTATAACTGTCTGGTGAAGCAGGTACTCTTATAATCTATCTGTTCTAACCGGGTAGTGTGCTATAACTGTCTGGTGAAGCAGGTGCTCTTATAATCTATTTGTTCTAACCGGGTCCGTAGTGTGCTATAACTGTCTGGTGAAGCAGGTGCTCTTATAATCTATCTGTTCTACCCGGGAAGTGTGCTATAACTGCCTGGTGAAGCAGGTGCTCTTATAATCCATTTGTTCTAACCGGGTAATGTGCTATGACTGTCTGGTGAAGCAGCTAGTGCTCTTATAATCTTTCTGTTCTAACCGGGTAGTGTGCTATAACTGTCCGGTGAAGCAGTTGCTCTTATAATCTATTTGTTCTAACCGGGTCCGTAGTGTGCTATAACTGTCTGGTGAAGCAGGTGCTCTTATAATCCATTTGTTCTAACCGGGTAGTGTGCTATGACTGTCTGGTGAAGCAGCTAGTGCTCTTATAATCTATCTGTTCTAACCGGGTAGTGTGCTATAACTGTCTGGTGAAACAGGTGCTCTTATATTCTATTTGTTCTAACCGGGTAGTGTGCTATAACTGTCTGGCGAAGCAGTTGCTCTTATAATCTATTTGTTCTATCCGGGTAGTGTGCTATAACTGTCTGGTGAAGCAGTTGCTCTTATAATCTATTTGTTCTAACCGGGTAGTGTGCTATCACTGTCTGGTGAAGCAGGTGCTCTTATAATCTATTTGTCTTTCCTTACATGTACTTGTCTTAAATAACAATCCATCTTCCCGGGGTTCCAGACACATTTCTTTGAGGGTTTTTTCAATAATGGTGACCAGGTTTATGACCCGATTTCCCACTCCTACCACTCAACAGTATATAGCTGTCAACCTGATAATGTAGATGTTTTCAAAAAACAAATTTCAGACATTTTGATTGGAAAGTTTCAGCTTGTTCCAAGGATGTTAAATTTTGTTTCGTATTTCCATTTTTTAAAGGAAGGAAAAACAAATTCACAAACATTTAAGAGGGTGGGGTTGTATTCCAAAGACTGATGTCAAGGTTTACATCCAAGTCACTTGAGTGTGACATATAAGATTATGACAACTTAAGGACAAGATTGATGTTCGTGTCATTTTAACCCATTCACCTCCATTGTCATATTTGAACCTTACCAAATCAAAGACTGGACTAGTCCAGTTTAAATATGTAGAGGTGAAGGAGTTACCAATCAAACGGATTGTCAAATTGTTTATAAATAGTTTGTTTATGCTAATTAAGGATAATTTTAAAATCCAATATCTGCATTCAATATTCAATCATTTGTCTGTTATAAATAATTAACGTTGATTATTTGTTTGCAGCGTTACAAAGTGTATTTATTATTGTTTGTTTGACAGAGTGTATCTATGAATGTTTTTAGTGTGACTGAGTGTAACTTTTAATGTTTGTAGTGTGACAGAGATTATCATAGAATTTTGTAGTGTGACAGAGTGTATCAATGAATGTTTGTAGTGTGACAGATTATATCTATGAATGTTTAGTGTGACAGAGTGTATCAATGAATGTTTAGTATGACAGAGTGTATCAATGAATGTTTGTAGTGTGACAGAGTGTATCTGTGAATGTTTGTAGTGTTACAGAGTGTATCTATGAATGGGAAAAGTGCGACAGAGTGTATCTTTGAATGTTTGTAGTGTGACTGAGTGTATCTTTGAATGTTAATAGTGTGATAGAGTTCATGTTTGAATGTTTGTAATGTGACTGAGTGTATCTATGAATGTGTGTAGTGTGACTGAGTGTATCTATGAATGTTAATAGTGTGATAGAGTTCATGTTTGAATGTTTGTAATGTGACTGAGTGTATCTATGAATGTGTGTAGTGTGACTGAGTGTATCTATGAATATTAATAGTGTGATAGAGTTCATGTTTGAATGTTTGTAATGTGACTGAGTGTATCTATGAATGTGTGTAGTGTGACTGAGTGTATCTATGAATATTTTAGTTCGACAGTGTATCTATGAATGTTTGTAATGTGAATAGGTGTATCTTTAAATGTTTGTAGTGTGACTGAGTGTATCTGTGAACGTTTTTAGTGTGACAGAGTGTATCTTTAAATGTTTGTAGTGTGACTGAATTTCATTGAATGTCTGTAGTGTAACTGCATGAGTGTATCTTGGAATGTTATTAGTGTGACTGAGTGTATCTGTGAATGTTTGTAATGTGACTGAGTTTATCTTCGAACTTTTGTAGTGTGAGTAAATCTTTGAAATTGTTGATACTGTGACTGAATGGATCTTTAAATATTTGTAATATGACCAGTGTTGTACACCTGCCCCCTTAATCATACATTGGATACTGATAAAGAACTCTTTTGCTGAGATTGATGAAGCTGATATTTTATCATCAGACACCCTAGCTGTGTGGATTTATGACAAACAGCAATGATGTGTGATTAATTGATGGAGTGTTAGGTAGGCAGCGTATAGAGTTACCTGCCTTGCAGGCTGCGCTTTGGATGGACGACCTCCATTGTTCTGCCCAGATTTCAGAAAAGCAATCCATTTCATTGTCTCAGGTCCCAGTTTGCCCATTAATGAATGACACCGATGGATGGTTTGTTCTATGCATGTGACATGCATCAATCTTTCAACCTTTGTGACCTTCCGAACATTTTACTGGA